ACTGAGCCACCCAGGTGTCCCTCAAGTTTTTTAAAAAACAGTAGTCATCCTAGTGGGTATTTTATATTGCACTTCTCTGATGAATAGAGATGTTGAGCACTATTTCATATGCTTGTTGGCCATTTGCATATCATCTTTGGAGAAATGTGTATTTGAGCCCTTTGTCCATTTTTTTATCACTTGTTGAATTGTACAAGCTCTTTATATATTCTAGATATTAAACCTTAATCAGACATATGTTATGCAAATATTTTTTCCTTTTCTATAGATTTTTCATTTGTTGATTGTGTCCTTTGCACAAATGCACAAAATCAATGCACAAAAATTTAAGTTTGGTATAGTCCTATTTGTCTATTTTTGTGTTTGTTGCTTGTGCATTTAGTGTCATATTCAAGAAATTATGCCAAATCCAATGTCGTGAAACTTTTCCTATATGTTTTCTTCCAAATTCCTTCCATAGTTGTAGGTCTTATTTGTAGGTCTTTACTCCATTTGGAGTTATTTTTTGTAGATGATTAAGAAGAGGGTTCAACTTCATTCTTTTGCATGTGAATATCCCATTTTCCTAATACCATGTGCTGAAGAGACTCTCCTTTTCCATTTGAATGGTCCTGTCACCCTATCCAAGACCATGTGAACATATACATGAGGACTTATTTCTGGGGCTGTCTCACATTTATGACAGCCTCTGAGTCTACATAGTATCATGTAGGCCATAATCCTGAGCCCACCCAGGGTATTCCCCTGGCCCCGGCCGGCTACGAGCAGGGACCCAATAAAGGGTAGCAGCCCTGAGTGTCGAGGAGGACACGTCCGTCCTGTGAGACACCTGCCTCGGGCGGCGTCCGTGCAGGGCCTCGGCACCGTGGGAGCCTGGCCGCTCCCTCCCGACAAGACAGAGGGGCTGCTGCTGTGGGAGGGTTCAGAGACATACGGGAGAGTCCCAAGATTCCCAGGCTTGCCCGCAACGTCTCCCCTCCAGGATTCAGGGGTGCGCCCTGTTCCCGCCAGAGCCCTGCCTTGCTCGCGGGAGACCCCCTGAGGCTGGCAGTCTGTCTCCTCTGCAGCTCCTGTCACCCCACCATCAAGTCCTGGCCCCAGCGGTGGGAAACCAGGCCTCCTTGCGCCCGCCCCTGGAGGCTCACAGCCCCCACGATGGCACACTTTCCTTGATGAGCGGCTGACCTGGGCCAACCGTGCCTTTCTAGGGTCTCCAAAGCAGCTAACGGCAACGATCCAATGCTATAATCGTGGCCAGTGTCTCTGCCTCCAGACCATTCCAGCGCCATGACTGCAGCCTCCTCAACACTTTGCAAGAACTCGGCTCCCGCCAGCAAGAGGCGGGGTCTTCTTAACTGTTCTGTCCCTGCCCCTCACAGCTGTCACCTCTCCACTCGCAGTCAGTAGTGGTCGCCCGTCCTGAGGGCCTACTTTCCAGGGCCAAGCTTGGGGTCCTCTTTCTTAGCCTGGGTTCCCCAAAGAGGAGAGCCTGAGGATTCATTTGGGCAGGGGTGAGTGGGTGATGGGGAAGGGGAGGACCGGGAAGGAGGCAGAGCAGGATGCAAGGACACATGATCAAGCTGGCCATTCTACCGGGGACTGGGGGCCCTACCCACCGGACTGCGGTGAACCCTTATGACCTGCACCTCGGGACTCTTCCTCTAAGAGAAGTAGGTGGCCAGGTGCATCCCCACTCATGTTCGCTGGCTTGCACTTCGGGCGGCACACGTGTGAGTGCAGAGTGGACTCCCGCACGCCCTGCACTGAGATGTTGGTGGGACCGGAGCGGCCGGCAAGAGCGGGCTGGACGGGCGAGTTGGTGCCCAGCTGGGCGCTGCAGTCGGGTGGGGCTGAGAGGTCCCACGCGGAGCCTGCTGCGGACACGTGGACGTTGCCCTTCTGCCGAAGTTCTTCCCATCTAGTGGCCAGGATGGGATGCGCACCTTCACACTGCTCTGATGTGCTGGTGCAGGGGGCATCAAATCCCATGTCCTCGGGGTCCCTGAAGGGAGCAGCAGGCCAGGCAAACACACACACACACACACACACACACACAGGGCATGCACTGGGGGCCTGAGATGCGGGCAGCCCTCGCCCCTCTAAACAAGGAACCACGTCCCCTTCCAGGCTGCTCTGGCCACGTGCAATATGAGGCTGGTGGTGACACCTTGAGATTTTTCCAGAGAAGCTGGAAATATGGGAGTTTTTCCGTAAAACCTGTTGATTTTTAAGTGGTGATTTTTTTTTTAATTGTGGGAGCCAAATAGAATGTGTCTTTGGCCTAGCACAAATGTTGCATGAGTGCGGGGGCTTTGTCCTGTTTACTGCTGTGTCCTGGCATCCGGCGACACTCAGGAGCTGTCCGTCAAATTCATGGAATGGATACACCAGTTAGCATTCTTCGGCTATGCTAAATCTCCCATCCCTCCCCCCTCGCCCCCTTCCTCTCCTTCCCTCTCTGCTCCTCTCCCTCCTCTCTTCTTCTCTCCCTCCCTTTCTCCCTCTCTTCCTCTCTCTCCCTCCCTCTTTTCTTTTCTCCCACCCTTTTTCCCTGTTTTCCTCTCTTCTTCTCTTCCTCTCTCTCTCCCTCCCTCTCTTCTTCTCTCCCTCCCTCCCTCTTTCTCTCCCTCCTCTCTCTCTGCCCCCTCTTTCTCCCTGTCTCCCTCCCTCGGTCCCTCTCTCTGTGTCTCTCTCTTCTTTCCCCTCCCTTCTTCCCTCCCTCCCCTCTGCTGGACCTCATTTTCACATTTCAAAACGTAGAGTTTTATCTGGTAACCCTGGCAACTGACCTCTTGGAAGCCTAGTTGGGAATTCTAATGCCTTGTTTTTTAATTCCAGGAAAAAAAAAAAAAACCCATAAATCCTGCCCTTGACTGTAATTTCTAATCTCCCCCTTGTCGTATGTGGGTGTGTATTTAGATTACAAACTCACCTGGTAGGAGCTGTGTTTACAGTTCTGTTTTGTGGGGTGGATGGAGGTGTGACAAAGACGCCCTTCAAAGTCCTCCCTCCCCTAAAGAAAGGCTTGTGTTTCGCTGCTTGCACAAGGCTTCATAGGGTATTGGAGCCAGGCAGAGGGCAGAGGGAGGAGCCACATCCCTTTCCAACGCCTTTTCAAGGTAATACTCCGTTGCCTACTGTTTGAACTTGGATGAAGCCATGGTAGAGGAAGGGGTGAAAGCAAGGATTGGCCAGGTCCATACTCGATGGAAACACCACCAGTCAGAAGGAGGCCATGAGGCCAGGCTGCCAAAGGGTAGTACCTGCTCAGAGTCTGCTCGAGGTCTGTAACCCAGCCGTATCTCTGAGAGAGAACCATGCACAACACTTTGGTTTGCATGCAAGCATGTGTATAGAAATATATTTAATTTTGAAGATCTAATACATTTGCCCTTTGGCAGAAAGAGATAATAAGGAACCAATAATAAACAATTTCCCTTTTTAAAAATTTTAAGAGACTAAAATGTGATTTCAGGACAACTTAAAAAAGAGGACTCTCAGAGGAACTGAAAATTGATTCATTTCAATAAAAATGGTCCCCAAGTTCACCTGCATCGCTCTGATTCCCCAAATTCCGCAAGTCTGCTCCAGATGCCTGGTCCCACAAACAACTCTGAGTAGTATTGGCTTTTTGTAGGAATTTGCTGTTTTTTTTCTCTTTGGTTTAGGTTTTTTTTTTTTTTCTCATAAATCCTTTTATTGAAAACCATGTTGTAAATAAATATTAGCTGATATGGGAAGCCATTCATGGCAAATTATTAAGAGGAAAAAAACATATTATAGAACAATATGACCCCAAATTTGTTTTAAAAGCACACATACACATTTATATTGTAGGAAAAGAGAGACAACAGAATATTCATCGTGGATATCTTTAGGCGTTTGAAGAAAGTTTTTGTTTTCTGTGCGTTTTTTGCACTTTTCAAAAGTTCCTCCATTGAATATATTTTTTGTTAATAGATTATAAAATAATAGATATTTTTATAAGTTAAAAAACTACTTAAGGAAATTATCATTAAGGATGAATTTAGGGGCTAGTAACAGAATGGCCTCTTTTTCACACCTAAGAAGTCTGGAGTTTGGCCTTTGCAACACCACAACGATGCTGTCAGAGACCCAAACTCTTTCTCTATATGCGTTCTGCCACTCTTGCATGTTGTGGCCTCATGATCTCAAAATGACTGCACATCTCCAGGCATTGCATCCACATTCCATCAAGAAAGAAGGGAGAAACTAGCAGCCCCAGTCACGTTTCTTTATCCCCTCTTCCACAAGAATGCAAGTTTTTCTGGAAACCCCACTCAACAGATTTCTGCTGATATATCAATAGTCAGAACGAGGTCACATGGCCAGTTCCAGACCAGTCACTGGCCAAGGGGAATGAGATGATCATTTCCCTAGACTAGTTCAGCTCCGTCACGTTTTATCTCCCAGGGCTGGACTGAAGGCCGGGTAGAGCATGTGTAGGCAATGGATAATATTTGACCAAAAAAAAAGTGTTTTTTGCAAGAAATGTTCACCTTGCACTGTAGATTATTTCAAATCTCTCTTCTCCACCTGCTTACGCCTCCGTCCCTGCCCCCTGCCCCCTGCCCCTGCCCACTGCAAGATCTCCAGGAGCAGCAGGCATGTCTCAGTCATGAACACCGCATGAGGCAGATTCTTCGGGAATGGTAGTTGGGTGCATGAAGGACGGGCGGGTGTGTTACTGGCTGGCTCAAGGGCCGAATACAGTTGCAGACAAATGGCGAGTTTTGAAAAGGGAGAGAGCCCTTGAGTGCCGAGTGCCCAGCAGGAATTTGGGGGAGGGAAGAAGCAGCATCTTGAAGGATGTGCTCCTCTCTCTGGTTTTACTAGTTTTTCTGAGAGATTTCTTTACCACTCTGAGATAGCTTCCTTCACTTACAGGCTTTCTCATTCCAATTTGATTTGCTTTTTAGAAGTTTAGCTCTGGGGTGGGGGGGCGGGCGGGCTGAACCAGTTGGGATTTCAACTTTAGCTTTTGGAAGATTTCCTTTTGTCATCCATGTGCTTTTAGCTTCTCAAACTGAGCTGTGCCAATCCCCAAATCTGCTTGAGCTGCATCCTGCCATCTGGTGTGGCCTCCCTTTTCCTTAGAAAACAATCTGCAGTTGTCTTCCTGTCTATCTTCCCATAAAGGCCATTTTAAGAGTGTTTTCTGGGCACCTTTGTCTTCCCCGACCCTGGAGCACATCATTCAGAAGAGGCTCGGTGGCATCTGCCCATCAGAGAAGCTGATAGAAGGTAAGCAAACATCTCCGTCGGGAAATGCATTCTTCGCTAATGCCAGAGAGCCTGTCGCTTGTGCAGTATTGTTTCTCCCACATGATTAAAAGCTTCCCGAGGCCCACCCCGCTCCTTGCAGCCCTCACCTCCTCATAGCACCTAATCGATGTCCTGGCACGGGGCAGGGCATCAGTCAATATTGAGGAACACCTAACCTCATCACCAGGGCAGTGTTAGACCGATGATGATGCTGTGAGCCTGGTGGGTCATCAAAACAAAGACTGAAATTCGAAGGTGCGGGGGGGAAAAAAAGACATGCCAACATGACTTCGATCTGCTCTGATTTCCAATTTTCTTTTCCTGTACTCCTGGCTGATTCGGAGCTGTGCGTAGACGACTCCCAAGATGTGGAAACCACAGACATAGAGGAAAGACCAGGAAGCCTCCTGAAGAAATGGACAGGAATCACACCTTGGATTCAGTTCCCCGGAGTCCCCTGAGCTCCAGGCACAGTACCTGACACCGGACAAGGGTGGTCTCTCATCCCTGGATGCCCAGGCGGGGGATATGTTACCACGGAGACGCCCAAGGACAAGGTGGGTGAATTACTCGCCCGAGGTCACGGAGCTTGAACTTGGCAGAGGTGGGTTTTGGCCTCTTCCGCAGATCTGCCCTCGTGAGCAGCCTGAGACTACAAGACGAGGGGCTTCCCTATTACTGATGATCGCTGCGTGGCTCCTGGCCTCCTCTTGCTGCTCCATAAATTAATTTTGCACCTTTATGCCTTCTGCACTGAACCACGCTACAAGAAAACCGAGCTTTGAGCCAGGAAGCTAGCGTGGCTCCAGCACACGGTCCCAGGGCTGACCTGGAGGATATTGCTGCCTCCCGGGAGCACTCAGACCACTGCTGGCTTGCTCACACGCTTGGTGGCCAAGAAGCTTTCATAAGCCACCAGCGAACTTCACCTATAGGAGGCTCCTTGGCTCCCTGGATTGGGGCTGGCTCTTCCCACACTTGCTTCTCTCCCTGCAGTTGCTGCAATCCCTAGTCAGGCGGTTACATAAGCAGTCCCCCTTGCCAACTGTCACCAAGGCCACCTGGAAAATCAAGACTTACGCAAACCAGCAATGGCTTGCCAGAGGTGCGACACCCTCGTGTGCTTGTTCCTGGCTGCTCGGGAGCTACGATCAAGCCCTCTTCTTACTACCAGCCCCGGATTTGTCCAAAGCTGGAACAACAACAACTATGTGTATTTTCTGCAGACTTAATGCCAGGTAAGATGCTGGGGAGTTTCTAGCATAAAGAGGCTGGAAATTCCAACGTTACATCTGTCCTCTGCTTCCTGGTTTCTTCCTAATGTCAGTATCACATACTTATTCCCATGTCTGTGTCCCGGTTCTTCCACCAACTGGCTGCACGACCTGAAGCGAGTCATCCTGTCTCCCCAGGCTCCTGCTTCCTCATCTGCAAAACGAGGGGATCACAGGAGACAAGCACCAGGACCCTTCTAGCTCTGAGCTGACACGACTGTTCCCCTGTGGTTTGGCCTGGAGCCTTCTCTTGCCTCCCGTCTGTCTCATGCATCCTGGCACGGCCCTCGGCACAAAGCTGGTGCCCAAAACATAGCGCATGGACAGGCCACGGCTGTTTCCTGACTACTCCCAGGATCGCACAGTTTGTTTGAGCCAAAGACCTGGCAGGAAATGTCCATGGCTCACAGAACCACATTTTCAAAGTCACATTGTAAGTAGAGGATGAAGGACAAGGGGACGAATCCTGTTCCCTCTCAATGCTTCTTCGAAGCGTTTTTCAGCTTGGAACTTGTTGCAGTCTGTAGTTTGAGGGTGTTCCAAATGTCTGTAATTACAGACTATCTCCTTCCCTGCCAGGAGGTCTGGAAGCCCAGCCACAGGACCAGACTGTGAAGACCAGCCACACATCTTATCCTCCTCAGCATTCCAGCTGCAGGATAATTTTTAACTATACTTTTGCAACTGGGGTTAGTAACCAAGAGACAAAAGACTGAGCAAATCCAACGAGGGAAACAAAGTAACCTCTAGAAAAAAAGAAGAAAAAAGAAAGAAGGAAGAGCGAGGAAAACCCAGGAAGGCCATCATGAGAAAAAGGACATTTTTTTAAAAAAAGGATTAACAGACGGGGTTAAAGTTGAGGCCATGCAGAAGCAGTTGGCTGATAGGGGAAAAAAACAAACCAAAAAAAACAAATAAAACCCCCCTTGGCTAACAAATAATTAGAGAATGACTTAGTAAAGAGGTTGGAAAGAATAGGGTATCAGAAGAGTAATGACCATTTTATTTATTTTATTTATTTTTTTTTTAAGATTTTATTTATTTATTTGACAGAGACACAGCGAGAGAGGGAACACAAGCAGGGGGAGTGGGAGAGGGAGAAGCAGGCCTCTGGCCAAGCAGGGAGCCTGATGCGGGGCTCGATCCCAGGACCCTGGGATCACAACCTGAGCCGAAGGCAGACGCTTAACGACTGAGCCACCCAGGCGCCCCAGCAATGACCATTTTAAACAGAAATGGGTTCTGGGAATGGATTGCCTCTCATTTTTATTCTGTCAGAAGCTGGTGGCAGTCTGACGAAAACTAAGAAGAAGGAATAAGGACTAAAAGGAATGTCTTACAGAGAAAATCCTGAGTCTGAACGAAATACAGTCAGGTTGGTGTGCGGAAATGCCCCCAAATGAGTGCTTCCAAAAATTAAACCACTACCATAAGGGATTTGAGAAACTGGGCATCACGGAGTGTCTCAGAGTAAGGACAGCGTGGTTGGAAGGAATACAAAGAAAAGAATCACATTCCGTTCAGAGAGAGAAGAAAGGCCATCTGCAGGACGGACCCGAGGAAAAGGCTTTTTTTTTTTTTTTCCCGAGGAAAAGGCTTTTGTCCTGTCTTTTAAGCAGTGAATTGTGGCTTGAAGGAGCCTCTTCCCTCTATATGCTGCACTACATTTGGCCTGAGCAATGATTTTGCTGCCTGTTTTTTTTTTTTTAACTCACAAATTCAAAGTATCATGTAGCTTTTCCAGTCTGCCCGAGGCTCCAGGCAATGAGAGAATAGGATGAATCATATGTAAGAATATAGCTTTGATGAAAAAGCCCTCAATCATTCAATGGCATGATCGGTTTAACAATCCCCATGATGTCTGTCTGACAAAGGAATGACTATTTTTGGACTTCATGTAGAAGGAACGTATCACAAGGACATTCATAGGTATTTGTGGCGTAGGTCCACTTAGAGCATCTCAAAGTGCCCTTCTTGGATGCAGCCTGGTTTTTGTATTTCTTCTCGTGGTAACAGTTTGTGGTGATTATTATAAGAAATAATGATAAGGGGTTTTTTTTTTTTGAAAAATTTAAAAAGCAGTAGCAGTTCTAGCTAAAACTTAATAGTACTTACTATGTGCCACTTCAAACAGCTCTTTACATTCATTCATTCCCGTAACCTTTATACTAGCCCTAATAAGTAGGTCCTGTTATGATTCCTTTTTGCAGATAAGGAAACTGAGGCACAGGGAGGTGACATGACTTGTCCAGACAGAAGCAGAGCTGGGATTCTAATATACCCAACTCCCATGTGCCCGCTCCTATATTTGGCAATTGTTCATACTTCTATTTGCTTTAAATCCTCTTACATAAAAGAAATATAACACTACAGAGAAAGTTGCTGTTACCTGCCTATCCCCCATCCCATGCACGTGATGTATAGTCTTTAGCTCCTTTTAAAATACTTTTACAGCGGTACCTGGGTGGCTCAGTCTGTTATGACCTTCGGCTCAGGTCATGATCCCGGGGTCCTGGGATGGAGCCCCACGTCGAGCAGGGAGCCTGCTTCTCCCTCTGCTTCTGTAGCTCCCCCTGCTTGTGGGCTCTCTCTCTCAAATTAATTAATTAATCAATTAATTAAATAAAATCTTAAAAAAAATTTTTTAAAACCACTTTTACATATGTGTCTGGTATCTATGGACAATACATAGTGTTCGTTTTCACATTTCAAACATTTATAAAGAGTAATATACTCTGTTTCCTTTGGACAACTTGCTGTTTTCCTCCCACCTTTATGATCATGAGCCATCTATGTTGATACGTATTGATCTCTTGGTCTGCACCATCCAGTTCTGCAGCTGCTGGCCGCAGATGGCCATAAGCACTTGAAATGTGGCCATTCTCAGCGTAAAATGCATAGTGGATTTCAAAGTCAGGATGGAAAACAGTAAAACACCTCTAATAATTTTTAATATTGATCACAAGTTGAAATGATCATATTCTGGAGATATTGAGTGAAATAAATTATATTACTGAAATTCATTTCACCTGCTTCTTTTTGTTTTTGTTTTTGTTTTGTTTTGTTTTTTAACGTGGCTACGACAAAATTGAAAATAGCATAACCGTTCAGTCTTCCTAGGAGGTTGCATGGCTGCACAAAGTGAGGTCGAGCTGGGCCTGGAGGCAGGTGGGCTGTCTGAACTTCGAGAAACAGTGTAAATCTGCCCAAGAAAGCAATGACCCAGTGGCTTAACTTGGTGACGTCCCTTACAAAATACAGTCCTTACCTATCAGTGGAGCATCTGCCTTTTTGGACTCTGAACAGAGCAGTTACAACCAGGCACACTCTTGTTGGGGCAATTTCAGCTTGAATGAAGCCCGCACACGCAGATTTTTCTGACATCTGCCTGCAATGTTATGAAGTCAGCTTCAGTCTGTGCCACTAAACGTATTAACTACTTTTAGGGCCAACTGTCAATGCACCTACTTGTTCATGCTTCCTACACTTTCGATTTGTTTTCTTAAGCCACAGCTCTTTATACCTGAAGTGCTTTTTCATTTTTTAAAAAGAGATGTCCTCATTATTCTACCAACGATAACGCTGAGACTTGTAATTAAGTTATAAAACATGCCAGGAGGGAAAAGATGATCGGCAATTGCCATGGGGATATTATTGATGAGTGTCAGATTGCTTTTCGAATTCTGAATAAAAACCTCCCTTTAACATTTTGAATCATAAAGTTACAGAACCAGCAGAGACCCGAGGTCTCCTAGGTGTTGGTCAAGACCGTAGATTTGGTGTCAGGCAAGCTGTGTGACCCTGGGGCCAGTACCTTAACCAGCATCAGCCTCGGTTTCCTCATCCAAGAAATGAAGATACCAGCATCTGCCTTCTAGAGCTCTTTTGTGGATTAAATGTGGTAACGATTGTGACTCTTCCTTGTACCTACTTTTATTCCACAGCGGTTGTGGTAATTACTATTAATTCTTGCACCATCAATATTTCCCCAGATGGCTCCAAGGGGATAACCTCTTCAAGCATACCTGGTCTGATCCCAACAGGCCTTTCTCCTCTGCTCTCTACCAGGACCCTTAAAACTCTTCCCTGAAGTGGAGAGGTCCATGGGTAACAAGAAGGAAACCCTGCAGCCTCTCCCTCCCCTTGCACTCCCCCACCCCCGGGGGTGCTCTGGGCAGTTCCTGATCAAGAAAGCTGTGTTAAGGCCCATCAATAAGAGCCTTTACCAGCATAGTCTCCAACTTCCTACCTCATTCTACAGTCTGGCTTCCCTAGGGTCTGCCTCCATAACCCTCTCCTGATGCATCTGAAAATAGTAGCATCAATGCTTTCCTTGCGATCAGCCACCTTGCTCTTAAGTGCTCTGGCTCATCTTGCTACCTGAATACGGGCCTCCTTGCCTCTCTTTAAGACCCTTGATGGTAGACTTTGGAAGGTTGGGACATTCCTAGCTCATGTCCTCTCCCACTCACCAACTAAGCTTAGGATGGGTGTCGCATTGCCCAGAATTTTATTATACAGCTCCCATATCACACTTGTTTTGAGAAATATAGTTACAAAACCACCAGGTTTTTGGCCTAGGATCCTAGGGGCAAACCAGACCTTTGGAGGTCAGTCATATATCTTAAGTTAGAAAGCAGTTTAGGCTCTGCCATGACCTTGGACTAAAGATTTTACAGTTAAGGAAACTGAGACCAAGGTGCTCAAGGAACTGGCCGGCAGGTATGGAGAGTACCTGACCGTTGACTTTTCTGTAGGATGTATTTATTCCTCGCACTAGTCAATCCCCTTCTGCCTAGTATTGAAGTCAGGACAGCCTTCCCACCCCCTACCCCCACATTTAACACTGCATCTGTCATCCAGAAGATGCGTATTAAATGTCCAATTATTAGTCCCTCCCATCTACATGCGGGGCTTTTTAGAGACTCCATTTCTTTGTCTCTGCACTCGCTGGGCTAACAGGGTCTCACACTAAGACTGGCTCAGGGTTTGCACCCTATCCTCCTGGAGGCAGCTGCATGGTGGAGGAGCTGTAGGTCCTCCATCTCTGGATTCTTAATGCCCGTGGAGCCCAGTGCTTTACACATAACAGGTACTGGGTAAGTTGTTTACTCTGTATGTGGTTCAAGGTGGTGCTTTGGGGAGCCTTTTCCAGGGGCGGGGCCATGCGGAACCTTATGTATCTCAGCCTTCCTGTATTAGTTACTTTTGGACCCTCTTCGTCGTGTGAATAAGAATAAAATGTTGTTTCTGCAATGAATCTATTTCCGACTATTTAATAACGTAGCTGCCGCGATTTACGACCAAATCCGTCAATGGCCCGTTGCCTAGTAACAGCAACCACGCCCCTGTGTCATTGCCCCGCCCCATATCCTAGTACGCACGCGCATAACCTTTCTCCAGGGCTCGCCCGCCGCCGGCGCACGGTGGTGACGTCTGGGGTCCGCGACGCTTTTGAGAAGCTGAGCGCTGGGGTCCCGCTGACTGACCGGCACGTTCCCGAGCGCCATGGCCTCCGGCGGGGTGGCCGCCGGGCGACAGGCCGAGGATGCGTTACCGCCGCCGGCCGAGCCGCCGCTGCCTGAGACGAAGCCGCTGCCGCCTTCGCAGCCGCCGCCTCCGGTCGCCGCGCCTCAGCCGCAGCAGTCGCCGGCGCCGAGGCCTCAGTCCCCCGCCGGCGTGAAGGAGGAGGAAAATTACTCCTTTTTACCTTTGGTTCACAACATCATCAAATGGTAAGAGCCCAGGAGAGGACCAGCCACGACACGCCCTCCCGCTTCTCGTCTCCTGTTTCAGAGCTGCAAAGGCCTAAGTGCTGTCGGGTACACCCCCATTTTACCGATGGGGAAACAGACCCAAGGGGGAGGAGGCCTTTCCCAAGACCACACCTAGTCGCACCGTGAGTTCAGCAAACGCTTGAGCCCTGAGAGAATTGCCAGACCTCACGATGGCCAGGCCGTATTCTTAAAAATGAAGGCAGAGTAGAGACCGACCTCACAGGCTCTGCAGTCAGGCTACTCAAGTTTGCATCTTAGTGATCTGGAGCAAGTCAAGCGT